GGCAGGATGTTGAAGACGGCTCGGGAATATATATATATATATTATTTTTTTTTTTTTTTTTTTGGAAAGGGTAGGTGGGGAAGTAGGTGGGTAGATGGGGAAGTAGGTAGGTAAGGTAAGGTAGGTAGGTTAAGCTGACAAAAATCATCTGGTTTTTTTTGGACTTTACTCTTTGGGGTCTGGAACGTCGTCATCAACATTGTGAAGAACATGATCATTCATCATTATTCATCATTCATTATTCGTCCAGTTTATTTGTAGATATTTATATATATATTTATATATTTATTTGTATATTAAGGGTTTACATCAGAGGGACCGAAGCTCGGCGGCGGCGGAATAGGTAGTGGAAGGGATTCGGGCGTTGTGTGTATCTATCGAGCCTCAAGTTCTCTTCCTTACTATGAAGTACCTACGGTACGGTACCAATTACGAATCTTTCTCCTCGGCGGCGCTAAGTAGCTAAGCGATCTAGCGCGCCGCCAAGACCCAAGGACCGTTTCTACGTAGCCTCGACCAGAAGCTCTCGTCACCTGACCTTTCTTTACCTTTTACCTCTCTCGACCCGTTGCTTTTCCTCAGCATCTGGTATCGCCACGCAACCCGCCACCTCGTCGACAATATATCCCCCCCCCCCCTCCCCCCCCCCTCCCCGCCGCGCCGACGACGGCACGATAACTGCACATTCATTATCTCCTCTGCCTGCATCTGGTATCACTGAGTATCTATCATAGGAGGCGTGGCACGTCTGGAAGGATTGAGGATTGATTGATCGATCGAGAGCGTCTGTGGAAGGCGGTGGACGACGTGTTGAGCTGAGTGAGAAAGGGACGGGGAATATTTTTTTTTTCCTGATGACGGCGATGGCTTTCCGCTCGACGTCTGCGCTGCCGGTATGTGCTCTGGAGGACCGTTACATGGGAAGGGGAGGGGCACACGGATGGAGATGGAGATGGGGATGGGGATGGGAGATGCAGGGAATCGGTTCGGGCCGTGCTGATGAGATGGTGTTTAGGGTCTGGCGGCTGCGACGACCGAGATCTGGCCTGCGGTCTCCCATGCGATGGGGAGCCCGTGGAGAGTCTTGGGGCAGCAGAAGCGCTCTCCTGCATCGGGGTCAAGTGGGCGACGTGCCCCAGAAGCCAAGGCCTTTTCGACTTCGGTGACGTTGGTATGCTCTGGACAATCTTTCCCACTCTCTGATTGATGTCCATACAGGACAGACCGGCTAACGCCACCTTCTAGGAGTCTTCCAAGGTCCAATTGCCCGAGTGTCTGCGAGACTTTCCAACCTCGTTTCGCTCGACGCTGGCCTCTCGTATGTCTTCCTCAATGTCACAATCGCCTTTGACCGTTCGCCAGATGGCCGCCCCGATGCCCACAGGCACCTTCCGAGCCGCGAATCCGATTGCCCGCCGCACACTCTCTTCGTTCCAAAGCCGCCAGATGTCTACCGGACTCCTCCAAAATCGATTCCAGCCCGCAGAGATCAGATTTGGTGGGATCAATGGGCTGCAAAAGAGGACCTTATTCGGAAACACTTCGTCTCAGAGCACACTCGCGCATCTTGAGGAAACTGCCAACAAGAACCCGAAGAGCGCCAGTTCGCAATATGCATTCTACCAGGCCTTGATCCGTGCTGACATGCCAGCCATCGTTATCGAGAGATACCAGACCAACCAATTCGCAACGAACAGCGCCTCTGAGGCCTTGTACCACCGGGCACTGGCAATGCAAAATGCTGGCCCAACTGTACAGCAAAGCACGCCCGTTGCCAACGCGAACCACTTCTCGGGACAGTCTACCAACCTTAGTAACAACCAGCTGCAGGCAATCGGACAGGCAATCGCGGCACAGCACCGAGGCGCTAACGTGGCCATTTCTAAAGGAGCCAATGGCGCCAGCGGCAGCAAGGAGACACCTCTCCATGTCGTTGTTGAGGAAAGCATCGCCAGCCATCTCTTCAAATGGGTCAAATTCGTATTCCTCTTTGGTCTCTTCACATATTTCAGCTTGGTCATCGTAGCGATGCTCCTCGAGGGCGTCCAGACGTTCAAGAAAGTGAGCGGAAAACACGACAACGAAGCCAAGGCTGAGCATCAGAACGTGCGATTCACCGACGTACACGGTTGTGACGAAGCCAAGGAGGAGCTCCAGGAGCTGGTCGACTTTTTGAAGAACCCGGACAAGTTCTCGACTTTGGGCGGCAAGCTTCCCAAGGGTGTTTTGCTTGTCGGCCCCCCCGGAACTGGAAAGACTCTGCTCGCACGTGCTGTTGCGGGAGAGGCTGGTGTCCCCTTCTTCTTCATGTCTGGATCTGAATTCGACGAGGTCTATGTTGGTGTGGGAGCCAAGAGAGTTCGCGACCTGTTTTCTGCTGCCAAGGGAAAATCTCCTGCCATAGTCTTTATCGATGAGCTCGATGCCATCGGTGGAAAGCGGAACTCGAGAGATGCGTCTTATGCCAAGCAGACCCTGAACCAGCTGCTCACCGAACTGGATGGATTTGAGCAGAACAGCGGCGTTATCATTTTGGGGGCCACCAATTTCCCGGAACTGCTGGACAAGGCACTGACTCGTCCTGGGCGATTTGACCGCAACGTTGTCGTTGGCCTGCCCGACGTCCGTGGCAGAATGGCTATCCTACAACATCACATGAAGAACATTATCAAGGGCAACGATGTCAGTCTCGAGAGTCTGGCTGCTTCGACACCTGGCTGCTCTGGCGCCGAGCTCGAAAACATCATCAATCAAGCGGCGGTTCATGCTAGCAAAGCAAAGGCTCAGGTTGTGTCCATGCTCGACTTGGAGTGGGCTAGAGAAAAGACCATGTTTGGTGCCGAGAGAAAGAGCATGTTCATGACCGAAGAGGAGAAGGAGATGACCGCGTACCACGAAGCGGGCCACGCCCTCGTCATTATGTTTTCCGATTGCTTCGATCCTCTTCACAAGATTACGATCATGCCGCGAGGCCAAGCCCTGGGTATCACCATGCATCTCCCTAAGATGGACAAGTACTCTAAAGGCAAGAGAGAATACCAAGCGCACCTTGACGTCTGCATGGGGGGCAAGGTGGCTGAGGAGCTCAAGTTCGGACCTGACAAGGTGACTAGCGGTGTATCTGGCGTGAGTGTCCAGCGTCTTTTTTCTCATGTCTAGCAATGATGCTAATGACTTGTGTACAGGATCTTCAAACCGCAACGCAAGTCGCATACTCCATGGTTACCATGTTTGGCATGTCCGACAAACTTGGCAATGTCGACCTGGCGTCCAATCACAACACCCTCTCAGCAGGTACCAAGCAGACGATTGAATCCGAAGTCCGCCGCTTGATCGAGGAGGGCCGCGAGCGCGCTACAACACTCCTGACCAGCAAGCGCCATGAGCTTGATCTTCTCGCCAAGGCGCTCATTGAATACGAGACGCTCGATAAAGACGAGGCATTTAAGGTTATCAGAGGGGAGAAGCTGACGGGGAAAATGAAGGCTATTCCCAAGGAACTTGTGAAGGTGCCCGAGGTGGTTGGGCCCATCTCTGGTGGTGGCATATCCGAGCTCCCGCCTATCCCTGGGAGTACGAAACCCGAGAGCAATGGCCCGTCCCCGGGAGGACCTGTAGCGGTGTGAGAATGCTGTACGGGCAGGGGAAACTCATTGCTCACTGTCAGTCTCAGATTGGTGGCTGATCCTTCTTGGATTAGCTTCGCTGGTCCTTGATGAGTCTGTCTCCTGACTAGAGATCGACAGGGCGGCGCTGAGGCGAGGAAAAGTCGTGTTATCGTTTATGGCGGAATGAACGGTATGCTATTACCAGTGAGATGAGGTGGTCAGGGCGAACCGGCCACAACTCAAGCGTAGAATCGAACACACCTACTCATTTTTTTTCTTTTCTTTTCTTTGTGGAATAAACCAGCATTTCAAGCGAGAGGGATATGGAGAAAGTGAGGGGAAGCGGAGAGAGAGGGGCTGTAGAGAGGTGGGAGGGGATAGGAAGGAGTCGGGTTCTTCTCGTTCTCGTCTTCTCTTCTATCCTCCCTTTCCTCTTTGTTCCAGACTTCAGTGTAGGATAAGTAAGGTTTGCTAGCAGCCATAGCGTTGAAATTAGATGAAAAGAAGTAGAAAAAAGTAAATCAAAAATCAAGGATGAAAAGGGAGATGAGATGAGGTGAAGAAAAAAATAAAAAAGGGGGGGGGGACTACAGAATGAGTGAGTGAGTGAGTGAGGGAGTGAATGAGTGGATGAGTGAATGAATAAGTGAATAAGTGAATGGATGGATGAGTGAGTGAGTGAATGAGTGAATGAGTGAATGGGTGAATGAGTGAGTGGATGGATAGATGGATGGACAAGGGAAGGAGGAGGAAAGACGAAAGGGGTTTTCAGTTCATGCTCTATTATATATATACATATACCTATATATTTTTGACTATTTGATTTGATGTGATCTGATCTGGTACCTAGCGGCAATTTTGCGCTTTTGCGCTTTTGCGCTTTTGCGCTTTTGCGCTTTTGTAATTTTTAATTTTTTTTTCTCTCTTTTTTAACCTCGTCATAAGTGTAGTTTGAGTTTGAGTAAGAGGAAGAGGAAGAGGAAGAGGAAGAGGAAGAGGCTAGAAGGGGAAGGGGGAAGGGGA